TAATGGGGCAGCCCAGATGAGTTTGGGGCTGTTTGCCTCTGTGCTGCCAGTTGCTCTGTTTCCGTTGCTGTAGCCACCCCCACAGGGCACTTGCCACCATCCAAGAGTCAGTGTAGAGGTAAAGCACTGGCCATTCCTCTCGTTCAGCAGTGTCCAAAGCCAGCTGGATGGTGTTTACCTCTGCAAACTGATTCACCTTGGCCTTCAGCCATCTCTGCAACTTGTTGTGTGGAATTCCACACAGCAGCTTTCCACCTCATATGTTTCCCACAGGTTGGCAGGACCCATCAGTAAACAGGGCATATTGCGTCTTATTTTCTGGCAACTGGTGGTACAAAGGTGATAGCCCATGTCATCTCCTCATGTGGTGACATTCCAAAATCTTTGCCTTCCGGCCAGTCCATAATCACTTCCAAGATTCCTGGGCGAGTGGAATTTCCTGTTTGAGCTTATTGTGTAATCGGTGCAACCCATTTATTCCAGGAAGGATCAGTTGCATGATGTGTAGAAAAGACTACCTTTGAACATCCTACCCACTTAATTTCTTCTCTACAGGCTCTATCCCAGAGGAGAAAAGAGGAAAGGTGTAATTAGTGAAAGTCCCCATGAGATGACATTCGAAGCACTAGGATGCTGCCAGTATTGCATACAGATATGTGATTTCTCTCAAAACCAGTAATACGTAGACCAGCCACATAAGACTCAATCAGGTCAGAGGATATATGATCAATATCGTGAGGAACACACAAGACAGTAAATCCCACCATTCTGTGCACAATTTAAAAAGCCAAGAACTTAATGTGCTGACCAGCCACCACAACATCTCAATAACAAGACTTACACACAGTAATCAGATCTGTTCTTATCTCAACCCTTTGAGCCCCACATTGGGTACCAAAAAGGACTGTTTAACTCTGGATAGCAAAATACCATGAAGCTGCTCTCGCAGATGCCCCCTCCCCTCCTTCAGCAGAGGGGAAGAACCAGGAAAAAGACAAAGAAGCTTGTAAAATTGAGATAAGAACTATTTACTAATTGAATCTAAATGGATATGCAAAATACTACTGATAATAAGTAATTAAAATAACACAAAATAAAGCCTATGCTACAGTTGCTCACCACCTGCCGACCAATGCAGAACCGGGTCCTGAGAAGTGAGAGTCAGAGCCTGAGAGCTACAGCCCAACAGTGGCTGCAGAAGAGTCTGAGTAAACCCTAACAGCAACAACACAACCGGGAAAACTAACGGCCCCACCAATTCGCTCCCGAACAAGACAATAAAGGAGTTAGCAAAGCAGCTAACAAAGGAGTTGGAGAGTGTAGGAAGTGTAAGGAAGTGAAAGAGTAATGGCCCTGAGCATGATGTAGTATAGAATGAAATACTCCCTTGTTCAGTTTGGGTCAGCTGTCTGAACTGTGTGTCCCCTGCACTGCCTGTGGAGAGATGGCGAGAGCTAGGAATGCAGCTGCAGTGTCAGAAGTGGAGAGAGACCTTGAATTTGGTGCAGGCACTCCCCAGCACTAGCTAAAAAGACACCTTATCAGTACTTTTCTCAGGGTAAATCCAGGAACACAGCTTCATACCAGCTGCTGTGAAGAGAGTTAACTCTTCCTGACTAAACCCAGCACAGTGGGGTAAACCAATGCCATTGTGTTTGTTTGAACTAAGCAATGCGTGGGAAAGGCTGTTCTCAGAGAACGAAAGTGCTTTTTTACACAGATTGTATTTTGCACAGATATAATAAAAGGCAAGAATAGATGCTTTTTTTCAGATTAACACCTCCCAAATTGTAGGAAATGTGGGATGTGCAAAAATAATTTTTTTGTTTTGCCAGCTGACTTTTCCACTTAGAGGCAGGAAGATTCGGTAGTTTAAGACCTTTAAAATTGGATGCTGAACTGTGAATTTTCTGTAATTCCAGAGATAGGACAGTATGGACAGCCTTGTAAATGTCGAGATGAGAAAAATACATTTGGGTTTTAAGATACGTCAATTCCCCCTGCTCATGCAGAGTTACCCACTTAAGTTCAATTATGCGCTGCTGTGGGAAGAGTTCACTTGGTTTATAATCTCTGTTCCGAAGCTTTTTCCTGATAGACAGAGTTGTATTGTTTCTCTGTTAACAGAGCTATAAATTGACGTGTGTAACTACTTCAAATGCCTGTGGACCGTAAGGTCCATTCTGACAGTTGAAAAAAAATGAACATTTTAACATTCATCCTCAAGGGTCTTGCAGATACATAGATGCACACAGGTACTAAGGGGAGGAGTGGAAAGTAAAGTAGACAAAGCATATAAAGTTATTTTATCACTTCACTTCTTTTTTTATTAACTGATTGGGTACTAAAATTTTCTTAGTACTAAAAATTTTAATTTCGGGGTTAATAAGGGATTAAATCAAAATGTCTTTTAAGTGGTCTGTGTCTTCACAGGCTTCTGTGAGGGTCTTCAGACTTTCAATGTGCTTTTGCTCCTTCAAATGCTTCCTAGCTCATCTTCCATTTAAACTTACACATGTATGTGTTAAAAAAAAAAAAGGGCATTCAAAAATGTGTGTGTTAAAAAAATATAAAATGTTCTAATGTTTAAGAGATTTCACGTTAACAAGCCTCTCAAAATCAATAAAGGAAGAACATATGACAACTGGGAATTCTATTTATCTATGCAGATGCTGGAAGAAAGTGACAAAATCTCATGCTCCTAGGTCACTGATAAAAAACAGAAAAAAATTAGGATAAAAGACCATCAGTTAGGACTGTGTGCATTTTCTTTCATTAGATGGAAGAGTTAGTAAATTCTTACTAATACTTAACGCTTTGCCTTGTCCAGCCGGTGCGTCACTTGGTTTCTGTTCTAGTACCAGTAGTACCAGCACAAATGAGTGTAGAGCAGAATATTCTGTTGTGTGTGCTAGGATATATCCTGTCTGGGAAGCTGGTTTTAGAGTGCACCAGTGAACATCAGTTGCTGAAAATGTAGAATTCTGGAAGAGATGCTGTATATTGTGTTTCAAGTAATAATTTAAATTTATAATACAGCTGAGCAGCAGTAGATTTAGTCTAGTTGTTGGCTGTGTGGTGTATATGGAAGTGAATTGGTAGCACATTAGAAGCAGTGTCCTTCCCGCTTGACCTGATAGCGACATAGAGATCGTCACTGACAGTTACTTGTTTCAGTCTTTTAATAGTTTTCATTTTCTAACACATGGCAGAAATAAAAAACATTTTGATACATAATACCACTTGACAGTGTTCAAAAAGGAGGAAAAAAGCTTGTTTAAAGCCTTGCAGTTCAAAAGAAGGGAGTCTTGAAAGTGGTCTGAATCACATGCTTTTAGGTCTTGGTTGTAGTATGAATGTTTCTCTGTATCAGAATGTGTTGCATTTCCTTGTCAAGTCACCTACAGGTCTGCATGACATGGACTTAACGTAGATTTCTCTTTTCCTCCTATGATGTTCTGTCTGGAAGATGATGCAGTGTCACGTGGACGCCTGTGATGACATGCAGCCACCAGAGCTGGTGAGTGTGCTCAGCCTTGTTTTGAAAACTGCTTTATTGATCAGGTTAAGCGACAGCGGGGATTTCTTCATCTTGAGTGTAGTCAGTGGCAACTTGCACCTACTGAAAATCATAACGGTGTTCTGACTTTAGACTTTATTGGCAGTTTGTCTTAACAGCGTGTCCTGTGCAAGCAGGTAATACAGCAGTGTGGAAGTAGACAGCTGCACAGCCAAAAGAGAGGAGCTATTCTGTACCTATTTTTGCCTCTTTCACACACCATTTTTGTTTCGTAAATAGTAACTTAACCAATGCACTGTAGGTGCATGCATTTAGGATACATATTTTGTTCATAATGATGTGTTTTTTCATATTTCAAACAGCAGATTTTAAAAGTAGCTTCTTCTGTTTGTGGAGAAACTATTATGCTTCACTTGCCTATGTATTTGAAAACGCAACATTTCATCGGATAGGTTTTGGGAAGGGAAGTTACAGGGTTCAGTGGGTGCTCATGCTGTCTAGGAGATGGCAAAGTGTTGGCAAGTATTAAACATCAATTCTTAGGTTATGTGAACACAGCAAATGTAATTACTTATCTGGCTGTCCAGTTCATTGCTGTCCTGTAGTTTGAGGAGGCAAAAATGATCAAGGAAATGATTATTCATTAAAGCAGATTAGCCCAAAAAGGGATCCTGTGGCAAATATCAACAGGAATATGTCTGTGTGTATGCAGTATGCTGCTCTCATGAGCCTCTGAATCGAGTCGTAAGCAGAGTCCTTCACATTCTTGCATTTTGGACTCCACTACAAGCTCTATTAATGCTGTATTACAGTCTGTATTGCTAAGTAACATGACTACGCACACAATACAGGTTGCATAGAGACAGAGGATTACCTCAGCTGATTAACCTGAATAGCTTCCGTTCCAATCTTCTAAAAAAAATAGCAGGTAAATAGTATTTTGGGAAAAGTTGTTGCGTTACAACTGCTGAGAACAAGTAGTTATGTTTGGTTGGCCTTGGCTGGCTGTCAGGTGCCCACCCTGCTGCCCTCTCACTCCCTCTTCAGCAAGATGAGGGGAGAAAGCGAGGTGGAGAAGCTGGTGGCTGAAGATAGGGAGATCACTTACTAGTTACCATCATGGGCAAAACGGAGTCAAATTCTGCAACATTAACTTATTGGCACTTAAAGAGAGAGCAGCATGGTGAGAAACAAAGAGGAAAACTAGTAACACGTTTCTCTTGCCCATCACTTCTTCCCAGGCTCCACCTCACTTCCTGATTCCCAACTCTGCCATGAGTGGTGCAGGGCAGGTGGGGAGCGGCAGGTTGCAGTCAGTTTATCGTGCTCTCTGTCTCTTCCGTCCTCCTCGTCACACTGTTCCCCAGCTCCAGTGTGGGGCCCCTCCCACGCTGCTGTTGTTCACAATCTGCACAAATGTGGGTGTTTCCAGTGGACTGCAGTCCTACCAGAACTGCTCCAGCCTGGATCCTCTTTCTGGGGTAGAGCTTTTCGGGTCCTGCCAGGCACCTGCCTGGGCTCTCTGCAGGCTGCAGCTGCCTTCAGTGTACACTCCCAGTGTAGGATCCTCTGTAGGCTGCAGCATGGCTGCCTGCTCCCCCATGGTCCTCTCCATTGGCTCCAGGAGAATCTCCATTCCAGTGCCTACCTTTGCTGTGGAGTCTGCAGAATCGTTTCACTTCTTCCACTCTCACTCATCTCTCACAACCAGTGCCCACTGGGGCTTTTTTTACCCTTTCTTAAACATTATCACAGAGGTGCCACTGGCCTTTGCTGATGGTCTTGGCTTTAGGCAGCAGTGGATCCATTTTGGTGTTGGCCAGAAGTGACTGTCTTTGTCTGGCACCGGGGAGCCCCTGGCCTCTTTTCAGAGGCCACCCCATCAGTCTCCCAGAAGTTCAGTTCTGCAGAACTGTGCCTCTTTATTCTCTGCTTCTGTAGGAGGATATAAAAATGGGGGGTTGTGCACTTAGAGGGCAGTAGATGAAAGGAAGCACTTGATGTCAAATACTAGTCTGCAAATCCTAAAAATAAGAAGGGGCAAGGAGTGCTCGTTGCAGTGGTTTGGATTTGGTGTATGGTAGTTCCAGCACAACAGAAGTAACTCGTGTCATCATTATCAGACAAGATGCAAGGGATTGCAGCACAGTCTGAATTGAGAGACAAATTATAGAGCTATTCTTAAGAGCTTTGGGTTTTTTTCTGAAGAAGTAGATGAAGTGGGAAGATTGATAAACACTGGGTAAACTTTTTTCCCAAAACTGGACACTTGAGTCTCTCAGGAGCTGTATTGGTAGCATTAATAAGGCCGTACTCTGACCTTTTGGTTTGAATGTTAGCTTAGTCCAAGGGTCAGGAGTAGGTCAGCATCAAGAGCTGTCGAGCAGCAGCTGAGGCAGTGAGACTGCTTGGTCAGCTGGTATAGCTGGATCCTTTGTCTCATTTTGTTCCTTATTCCTAGAGGTTTTGACAAGGCAGGATAAAACTGAGACTCTCCCCCCCACACACACCCCTTTTGTTTCTGGTCTGCCTTCTTTGCCTTCGTGTGGCTTTGATGGCACAATGCTGTTAGGTTAATAGTAAGAGTGGGGTTTGAGATTTTTGCATAAAATAGAATCACAGAATCACAGGATGGTTTGGGTTGGAAGGGACCTTAAAGACCATCTAGTTCCAACACCCCTGCCATGGGCAGGGACACCTTCCACTAGACCAGGTTGCTCAAAGCCTCATCCAGCCTGGCCTTGAAGACATCCAGGGATGGGGCATCCACAACTTCTCTGGGCAACCTGTTCCAGTGCCTCACCACCCTCTCCATGAAGAACTTCTTCCTGATATCTAATCTAAACCTCCCCACTCTCAGTTTAAATCCGTTACTCCTTGTCCTGTTGCTAAATAGGCTTTAAGTTAACAGTAATGATGCTTAAGATGAAAACATGTTGCTGGAGCGTGGCTGATCACTGTTTAAGGTTTTTTTCTCTCTCTCTTTCAGTTTGAGGGTGGCTCTGGATATGGTAAGTGTTTACACAGAACCTTTGCATGTACTTGATGACATAGTTACTGAAGGGCTTGATGCATACGTTTAAATCAGACTATTCTTACGCAGGGGGGCGCGGTTCGTACGGAGATCTTGGGGGACCCATCATCACAACACAAGTAACGATTCCCAAAGATGTGAGTAAAGTTGACTTGCTTTCGACTTGTCTTCGCTCTTAATTTAAATTAAAAAAAAAAAGTCACAGCCTTTTCCCAGACGTGATGTGAGAGAGTGTTTAGGGCATTCGATAATGACCTGCTGTATAAAGCAACGCGTTGTGAATCACCAGAAGCCTGTTCTTTGGGTGTTTGTTTTGGTTCTCCCTCACTCAGAGACACGCTAAACCGTGTTATTAATTGTTAATATTGAGTAGTAGAGATGATGGTCTGTGTCACTTTTTTTTTGTAAACGAGCAACTACTTCTTCCAGTTCTGCACCACCTGTGTTGATGCAGTGAATGCTGCAGGGGGTGTTTTGAGGCTGTAAATAAGCAGGCTTCCATTGCAACTCCTAAACTTACAGAAGCTGCTTAAACACTGCTGTGATTTTTCAGAACTGTTTTTAGAGGGAAAGTTGTATCAGGAAATGAATGTTTTGCTTTCTCCCCTAGCTGGCAGGATCTATTATTGGAAAGGGAGGCCAGAGGATCAAACAAATACGTCATGAGTCAGGAGCTTCAATCAAAATTGATGAACCGTTGGAAGGCTCAGAAGATCGGATAATAACTATTACAGGAACACAGGACCAGATACAAAATGCACAGTACTTACTGCAGAACAGGCAAGTTGAAGTTTAACATTACCCCTGCTGTCAGCTTTAAGCTGACTGGCTTGCACGTCCTAAAGCTCGTCTCTGCAATACTGTTGTTAGAAGGCAGGTTTTAAGTAACTATCTGAACCTAACTTCTCCAGTGGTAGTTCTGCCTTGATTCTCTTCTGTTCCTCATTCTAATTAAAATGAAGACACCCTCAAAACTAATCTTGCTGGAAGACGCCTTAACCAAGCAGTCCTCTCATTTCTCTGGTGAAAACTGCTGCAAAAAAAAAAAAAAAAAAACCCCAAAACCAACAAACAAACCCTACTTGTAATAAATTACATAGAGCCTGTAGAAAATATAGAAGATTTCAGTGGATGTTGGTCTAGTTCTGTGTGGAAGACTAGTGATTTTGTTGTTTTTAGATAACTGAATTGACAACAAATCACAGTCTGCCATATGGCACAGACCATGCCTCTACAGGACAAGTTGAAATCGATTTGGTGCTGTTATGCAGCATTTCGCACCTTGCTGACATAACTTTGTCTTTTCTGCCAAATAACTAACGGCTTCAGGTTTAATTTGCGTAGTTTTGCTTCACTAACGTGCTGGCGGCCATGCCAGATTTTAGTGTTTTTAACGTGTATTGTTTCTGCTTTAGATAACTAATGTTTAAGTGTGCCTAAAGTACCTTAGTTTAACTGTTAGCTGTTGAGACTAGAAAGTTGCTCACTTTGAAACGTATTCGGCGTTTGTAGTTTAACCTGCTCTAAGAATGTCATTGTGAATGTTGATGCAAGATGTATGGTCCATCATTCTAATACATGCTTTTTTCTTTTTCTTTTATAGTGTGAAGCAGTATGCAGATGTTGAAGGATTCTAATGCAAGATTATTTTTTCTTTTTTATAGTGTGAAGCAGTATTCTGGAAAGTTTTTCTAAGACTAGTGAAGAACTGAAGGAGTCCTGCACCCTTTTTTTTTTTTTTTTTTTAATCTGCTTCTGTTTAAAAAGCCAACATTCCTCTGCTTCATAGGTGTTCTGCATTTGAGGTGTAGTGGAATCTTTGCTGTCCACCAGATGTAATGTTTTAGTTCCTTACAAAAACACGTAGGCGGCGGGGGGGGCGGGAGCGGGGAGGGAAAGGGCAGGCGAGACTAACGTTGGAATTCGGGAGTGGCAGCGGAGGGCGGGTTTTAGGGTTGTTTCACTGGCG